ACAGGCTCTGGAAGCATGGTGGGACAAGTCCTATAAGGACGAAGAGCGATGTGACCGCAGCGAAATGTGATCTTTAAGTGATGGCAGCAACGAGACACACAGTTCAATCAGGCACAAAGTGAAACTCGGTTGGACGGCACAGGGTGAGTATATAGGACGTGGAGACCCAACGTTGGGTTGTGTGATCTGCCATCGTAGCGTCGGTGGTTAAGCGCTGAGGATGGCGAATGGGCTTGCTGGGGTCCCAAAGAGGTTCACATGTGGCTCAGTGGCAGGACTCTAAAATGGCCAGGACATGCATAAGATCCATGGCAGTGGCCGAGAATGGGGAGAAGCGGTGCGAGAGTGATTGGGTTTATGGCCTGTGGTTGGACGGAAGTTGGTGATAGTCTGACGTTTAAGCGCCGACGTTGAGAGAAACAAGGGATGTGATTGGCGATCAACGGGCTGTGCTGCAGGTGCCAACCCCCTCCACTCTTTATGCTATCCAATCGTGTCGATATAGGCGGGGTTGAGAGCTTGCAGATAGCACTTAACCTAGACCGGCACGGTTCCCATTTGCCCCCAACTTCCCAGGGCAGTGAGTTAATAAATCCATCTCATTTCTGTATCATGAGGCGTTGAAGGGATTCAGTGGAGTTTCCACAGGCCATGTGCTCATTCGCCTTGTCAAGAGATATCCGGCCGCTAGTATGCTAGTGTTGTTGTCGTATGGTGGTGTCGCAAGCTGTTTCACATTCCGCCACTTCACTCGCCTAGCCATCAGCCTAGCTATTTTTACTTAACTGGTCGGCGGTTACATCGCGGCATATGTTTGGTGTGATTCCCATCCTCATCACACAGTATCACAGATGCGGTCTGCTAGTTTGTTGATGGCGCTATAAGGATGGTGCCACATTGTAGTATCAACTGAGAAATGTGATAATCGAGCCATCACAAGTATCGGGAAGACACTCACGCATTCTTGAGAATGACCTGCCCGAGATAGGCAAGCGACTGGCACAAAGGATGGCACATCAATGCTCTTTTCACGCAAGCTAGGGACCTCGTTTCTATACCAACAGTACTAAACATAATAATTAGTTAATCATAGAGTATTCCACAGTATTTAGCTTGATATTGTGTTAATTATTAGTTTGATTTTTTTATGTTGTTTTAAATTCAACGCTCGAAGTTCTGGGTGTGCCATGTTTTATGTTAGTCGCTTGACAGGTGAAGTTCTCTCTACCGGGTAGGTGACTGAAGCATGGGAGGAGCGGGATCACAATGTCACATCTGAAAAGCATTATGGATTTGCGTAGAACCAGAAGGATAGATCAGAACGCCGATTGGTATCCACGAGCATTGTTTTCATTCCTTTTTCTAAAATCAAGGCATCAATATGCGTCATCTCGTTGTTTCAAACTGGACGCTCTCTCTAATCGGCGCTCGAGAAAAGCTTAGTCAGTTACGTAGTCACATGACTTCGCGATTGCCTGATTAGAGCTAATCCGCGTCGCGTGTGTACCATCCAGACGTGTCGGCGCATGAGAGCGAATGTCTTGAGATCGGTTTGTACCAAGTCTCTCATTTAATTGTGATGTTGATTCGCCATCGAGAAAGCGTGGACTAATCCAATGATAATCAATTGCTACATTTCACACCGTCCGGACATCCTCCTGGATGCACTGATACCACAATGTCGAAACCAAACCTCGAGAACACCATCTTAAGATCCTTAAACAAAGCTCAGCATCGCGCTGTGACTTCCGAGGCCTCTACAGTGGCCATTTTGGCGGGCCCAGGAAGTGGCAAAACCCACACGCTGACTTCGCGTGTGGTATGGCTCATCCAACATATGGGCTATAGGCCCTCCGATGTCATTGTTGCTACCTTCACGATCAAAGCTGCACGGGAAATGAAGGAAAGAATCGGAAAACTGCTGGGAGAGGATGTAGAGAAGAAGATTATTTTGGGTACTTTTCATTCGATAGCCAGACGCTACCTCTCCATCTATGGGCGTCACATTGGGCTGGAGTCCAAATTCAATATCGCAGACGACGGAGACTCCAAGGCCATCATTCAACGGATCTGCAAAAGATTGGGCCTAAAGGTCGAGCCATCGTACGCAAAGGCATGGATCAGCAAGAAAAAAGCCAAGGGGACGCCTCCTGTCAATGCTCCCAAGAGCCAAAAGAACAAACAGCAGGAACACCCTGATCTCGCAAAGTGTTTTGCTGAGTACCAAGACCACCTGGAAAGGTCGAATCTTGTCGACTTCGACGACCTTCTAGTCAAATGCGTGGAGCTTCTTCGAAAAAATCCAGAATGCGTCTCAAACGTTCAGACTGTTCTCATCGACGAGTATCAAGACACAAACGGCATTCAATACGAATTGATGAAACTCTTCGCACAAGCGAGGGAACGGATTACCATTGTTGGTGACCCTGATCAAAGTATTTATGGCTGGAGATCAGCTGAAGTGCGAAATCTTTACCGCTTACTACGTGAATATCCGGAAACCGAGGAAGTCTCTCTGGAAGAGAACTACCGATCTTCCCAGTATATATTGGATATTTCGCTGCAAGTCATCGAGGAGGATAAGAATCGATACAAAAAGGTTCTTCGGCCGGTTCATACTAAGTGTACACAACCGGTTCTCCGAAGCCTTGGCTCAACATCAACAGAAGGAGAATGGATCGTCTCTGAAATCAAACGCCTTGGTATGATGTTTGGAGGCATGCTAAAGAACGAAGATGTGGCGATACTTTTACGGTCAGCGTCGCTTTCAAGACATATTGAGTCTGCGCTCGGCAAGGCTGGCGTTGCATATCAAATGATTGGCGGTAAGAAGTTCTACGAGCGGAAAGAAATCAAAATCCTGCTCGACTATTTACGTGCAGTTCATCAACCAGACAACAATGATGTTATTGCACGCATTATCAATGTTCCACGAAGGGGCGTAGGAGATGTCACGGTTAAATCCCTGCTTGAAGAGGCTGAACAGGCAAAAATATCTGTTTGGGCTGTCCTATGCAAACACTGCCGCGGTGAGCGCCGAGCATCTACGAACATCAGAGCCAATATGGAGCAAAGGCTTAGCTCTGGCCTTTTGAACACAATATTCACTCTACGAAAGAAGGCGGATGCAATCACAGAAGACGGAGCTGTTACTCTTATCGACCTAATAGACTCGCTTCTTAATCAGCTCAGTTTCAAGAGGTATTTGGAGCTTGAGTATCCAGAGGAACACGAAACAAGATGGGCCAACGTTCAGGAATTCATGAACCTCGTCAAAGATTTCATGAGAGATTACAGTCAGATGGATACCGAGGAGCTCCCGGAGATCGACAACGTAACTCAAACAAAAGAGGACGATATCCTTGGCAAGTTTTTGGCCAATGTCTCGCTAGCATCTGATGCCCAGCGGGATGATGGAGATGGCGATAAGTCATCCATGGTCACAATCTCCACGATACATGCCGCGAAAGGCCTCGAGTGGCCTGTTGTCTTTGTACCATCCGTCTACGTAGGGTCCATTCCTCACTCGCGATCGGAAGATATAGAAGAAGAACGGCGTCTTCTATATGTAGCCATGACAAGGGCCCAGGCAATGCTGTATCTCAGCTGTCCTCTCTATGGCCCGCAGGGACTGAGCAATAAGGTTGAGCTTTCCAACTTTGTTGCACCCTTTGCTTCGAAGGCCTTTGCTGCCCGTGGTCCTTCCATTGATAAGAAGGTGCTTGAAAGTGTGGCCAAGATTCTTGGTAGAGAGGCGCCCCCAGAAAAGAGGGTATTTGACAATCTGCCGTCCATGTTTTCACCTGAAGATGACACCTTTCCCTTGAGCCCAGTCGACCCAAAGAACTCAGATGGGACTGAGGAAAATGGCGAGCAGCATTACGCACGAGCGCCAAAGCGACAACGGAAAGATGCCGAAAAGCACAGCTCGGGGAATGGGGACCAACCCCTGTTCAAACCCTACTCGACTACAATGGAGGACTCAAGTCATTTCACAATGTCATCACTGCCTGGATTTATGACTGCTGGGCAGGCCCGGTCAGCCATTTCCGCATCACTAGCCGCGAAAGAAAACCAGCCCTCTGTCAACAAAAAGGTCACAAAAGGATCAACACACCGTGATCCAAACCAGAAGAGCTTACTCGGATTCATGTCAAAGGGTACCGGGGCCGCTGGTACTGGGCCTCCAGAGGCGAAGATTGGCAGTTCCTCTCTCGATAAACAACTCCAGCACGGCTCCCGCCCCCAAGCATCGGTGCCCACCGGGATTTCAGGAAGGCAACAACCAGCTTTGGACCCGGCGTTGGCCCAGCACAAGCTTGGAGGCGGGAAACGTCCCATGCGACCAACAGTTACAAAGCCAGGACTAGATGGAGCAGGAAAGCAATACCCTTGTTTTTCCAGCTCACCTCCAAGACAGCCCTCCCCGGAAGAACCTGAGAACGAGCCCTCTAAGGAGGTATCGGTTTCTAGCCGACCAGCAGCTGTTTTTCATTCCACTTCATTTACCACTGCTGGCCCTCGGCTTGGTGTCAGGCGACCTGTCGGGATGGGGCCGGCTCCGTCCTTGGATCGCTTGCGAAAACCATTCAAGCCACTGACAATGAATCGGCCAAAGGGCCGGTAGGCTGACACAAACAATAACGATATGCATCTTATGGGATTTTAATAATGGGTATAAAGGGCGTATTTTGGCATAACGCAGGAGAGTCAATGTGGCAGGATGTTGGTCTTAGTGCTACCATAAGACGTTATGGTTAAGCATAACGACTAACACCAATACTTGTAAGGCCGAGACAGACCAACGATACATAGGTATAAATGAGAGCGATTTTCCCAGGGATCAGATAGAAATAAAAACAGCGGTTCAGAATTCATCAATTACGTTCAGGAAATTACATACACACCTGCAAGAGTTTTGCTTCGGCATTGTCATTACGATCACGCACTCCTACCTTATCATTCATTTGGTCAACGCCGAAAGCCGATTATAAGGCAACATGCAGGCCATCTTCAAGCAACTCTCGCCTCGCCTCGGCAAGGCCGTCACCGGCAATGGCCCTTCCGTCGCCCTGCCGCATGCCAGGGCAGCTTTCGCAAGGCCCATGAGTACCAATGCACCGGCTCGGACTTGGGCATGGAGTAATCTTAGCAGCAAAACCCGCCGCAACATCGTGGTTGGGCTTTCTCTAGGCGCTGTCGCGGACAGCTATGTTTGCTATCGGTACGGATGGGTTCCCTCTTGGCTTGGAACAGGCAGGGAGGAGAAACTGTGATCCCGTGACGGCTCGCTCTCGTCGCATAGCCGGGAAGGAGGCTGCCGCTTCGGATCGTCAGCAGGGACATGGGGCTCGTTCATTTTGTGGATTGATAGACTCAAGGGAGTCAGTAATTTCAGTAATTTACACACGGCGGTTTTCTTCGCCTCGCAGACCCCTAATTGTCTGACGGATCGGATGATGTGAAAATTGAAATGAAGCAGCAATCCATGGCCACACCTAAGCGAGAAGCGAGAATCTAGATGAGCGAGGGTCCCGAAAGTCCAATTAGGAATAGTAATCACGGTGCTTATTTTTCTTTAAACCAGAAAATTTCCGTGCTGGTATTAATCGAATAAAAGAGTGCCACAATGAGGCGAGGTGATTGAACAGATAGCTCCATAACTGAATCTGATCGCTTCTTCACAGGCTCGACGGCAGATAAATCTTGAATGACTAGATAGAATCCGAACACCTCTAGTGCAACCTATTCGTTGTTGTTTAAAAGTAAAAGCTGTCCCTGTCGAGACATCGGCCTTTTCCCGCTGATGTGGCGCTGGTTGTTTCTTGACATTGCGGCTACTTACATCTCGACGCTACGACTGCGCAGTTGAATGTCTTACGTAGCCGCATAGTCTTAAATATTGATCTTTAAAGCTTTCTGACTCTGTAAGCTTGCTTCTAATGATAATCGCCGTATATGTATGCTGGATGAGACTGAGAGCCTTGAGTCAAAAGTATAGGTAATGACTGTCCCCTTTCAATACAAAGAGTGGCGGCATACTCTTCCCAAGCACCTGACATAGGTTCCAAAGCCGTAATAGCTGTGAGGTGAGCTCTGCCAACGTTTTAATCTGCTCATGAAGTATGGAATAGTATAGAGGCCGGAACCAAATGGATTGAGGTGCTGCGGCGTGTTAGCAGGATCGCGGGGGCGGGCAACAGGCGACCTACCTGCATGTACCCGGGTAGTTACAGTGTGTGCATTAGCTAAGGGCGGACATGGGCCCGCCAATAGTCAATGCTCCTTCCCTGCAATGCCCCTCTGGACCTACCGCTTAGGGGCACCTGCACCACTAACCCCAGCATTGGCTTAGCTGCCCCTCAAGCACTGCAGGTTAGGTAGAGTCAGCTCGCCATCCGCTATCTGGGCTGAATCCGGCACTTCCTTTTGTTCCTCTCCCATAGGCCAGAAGTGTCGCCGATACAACCCTGAGCAGGTCCGTCTATGACGTTGCAACCATCTCTCGCCCATCGCTTGGGCTGGTTCGTCATCAGGATGCGGCACGCAGGCCAAGGTAACCCCAGGCGGCCGGCACGAGTGGTCAGTTGATGCCCATGGCTGCATTGGATGGTAAACGATGCGGCCCCCCCAATCCGAATCTTGCTTCCAACCTGCCCTTGTGAGCCGAGATAATCTCGGACCCCTCGCCCAAAATTGCCAGCTGGGTTTGCCTGTGCTCGACCTTCCACTTATACGCATCTCAAAGTGGCAAAGGCTGCCTGGGGTAGATGGCCAACCACGGCCTGAGTCTGAGTATATATTCATGCATCACCAGCGGTGCGAGGGCCGCACATCTCCAACGCAATACATAGGCTGTCTGGAGACTTCTCTTTTTGTTCTCCAACTCCCTTCCCCTTAGCTGCGTCTCCCAGTTTCCCCCAATCATGGAGTTGGTTAAGAGGCAGTCCTTTATCGGGCTTTTGCTAGCCACGCTGCTGGCCTTATCTCTCGTCCCGGGTGTATTTGCCCGGGCTACTACTGGAGGCGGGCCCAAGCTCGAGAGCCGTGCAGATGGCGATAAATACCTGATCGGCGTAGGAAAGGCTGACATTACCGGCCCTGTTGTCGAGATAGGCTTCGCTGGTTACGCCGACTTGGCCCAGAAAGGCGCCGGGCTGCGACAGCGGTTATACAGCCGAGCCTTCATTGTTGGGGATGTAAATAAACCGGAAGATCGCTTCGTCTATTTGGTTCTGGATATCCAGTCCGGCGACACTGCCATGCGCAATGGCATCTTGGAGGCCCTCAAAGCTCTGGGTGGTGACTATGCGCTTTACGGCGATCACAACATTGCTGTGACGGCTACGCACAGTCATGCTGGTCCTGGAGCCTGGTTTAATTATCTCCTTCCTCAGATTACTACATTTGGCTTTGACAAGCAGAGTTACCAGGCTATTGTCGATGGTGCTGTTCTCTCCATCAAGCGGGCTCAAGAGAGCCTCCAAGAGGTAGGGCGATCCAAATCCCTTGTCTGAATAGACTGACGACTGACTGATTTCGGACGATAGGGTTATCTGGATGTTGCCACAGCAGAAGTGGAGGATGGCGCTATCAACCGCTCCATCTATGCCTACGAGGCCAATCCTGCAGATGAACGTGCCAAGTACAGTGATAGTGTCGACACCACGCTCACCTTGCTTCGCTTCAAGCGTGCTTCTGATAGCAAGAGCATCGGTGTTCTTTCATGGCATGCAGTCCACGCCACATCCATGCTCGGTAACAATACACATGCCGCCGGTGACAACAAGGGCCTTGCTGCCTGGTTGTTCGAGAGTGAGCTGGCTGGTTCGGACGGTGTTGCGGATGGATTCGTAGCAGCATTCAGCCAGGCAAATCATGCAGATACATCGCCCAACGTATTGGGCGCTTGGTGTGATGATGGCTCAGGCCAGCAGTGCGATGTCAAGACAAGCACCTGTTCAGACGGCACTGTCGACGCATGCCATGGACGAGGACCCAAGTTTGAGGCTCTCGACCTGGGCATCTCCAGCTGCTACGAAATCGCAAGCCGACAGGTGACTGCTGCCAGAAAAGCATACGTAAGTCTCATTTTGTGTAAGCGATGAATAACCTCCACTCACTGACGCTCAATGACTAGAATTCTTTATCCAGTTCGAAGCCCGTGGTCGGATCTTCTGTCAAGTCGTTCCATTTCTTCCATGACATGCAATATTGGGAATTCACCCGCGCAGATGGGACCAAAGGCCAGACTTGTCCGGCTGCTCTTGGATATTCCTTCGCCGCAGGCACGTCTGACTGGCCAGGCATGTTCGACTTCAAGCAAGGAGACTCTGGTGATCCGGATGCCAACCCCCTCTGGGAAGTGGTCAAGGGCCTCCTCAAGACCCCGTCCGCGAAGCAGACAGCGTGCCATGAACCAAAGCCCATCCTCCTAGACGTTGGCGAGATGTCTGACCCTTACGCGTGGACACCAAATATCGTAGACATCCAGGTGCTTCGCGTCGGTCAGTTCCTGATCATCACCAGCCCCAGCGAGGTTGCCACCATGGCTGGCCGACGGTGGAGAGCGGCCGTCGCCTCCGAAGCGTCAACCTTCCTAGACGAGGAGCCTGTAGTGGTCCTGAGCAGCCCTGCAAACACATATGCCCACTACCTCACCACGCCCGAGGAATATGACATCCAGCGCTACGAGGGCGCCTCGACTCTCTACGGCAGGGACTCGCTCAGCGCGTACATCAACCTCACCGTCAGCAACCTAAACTACCTGTCCCCGGATGCGACCGGGCAGCCAGACCAAGGCCCACTCCCCCCCGACAACAGGGACAAGGCCCTATCATTTATCACGGGCGTCGTGAGGGACAGCGTCCCGCTAGGTAAGTCCTTTGGCGCCGTCGTCACCCAGCCGTCCGCCACCTATGCGGTCGGTGACGTGGTGAAGGCCACCTTCCAGGCCGCCAACCCCCGCAACAACCTCCGCCTCGAGCAGACATACCTGGCCGTCGAGAGGCAGGACGGCAGCACCTGGACCAGGGTCCGCGACGACGCCGACTGGTTCCTCGTATATACGTGGCGCCGGACGGACTGGTTCCTCGGATACAGCGAAGTGGATGCCACCTGGGAGACAGCCGGCAACGCCGAGCCAGGCACGTACAGGTTCAAGTACTATGGGGATTCAAAGAACCTGCTGGGCGCCATCTCCTCGTTTGAAGGTACAAGTCAGAGCTTCGTGCTGAACTAAAGGGGTGGGAGATGGTCGGGCACACGAGGAAAGCGTTGTCACAGACCACATACGTACATGTGTTAATACCAGCACTTAATCGAGCTTGTTTTTCATTGTGAGACAGTAGTTGAACACCCCCTCCTCCCCGATGAGTCTTGTCCTAGCCTACGAAAATTCCCTTGCTGCTTTGGGCTGCTTGCAGCCGCTGTGCCATCTTTCAAACTGCAGCTTGTGACAGCCACATTTCCAGAAGGTGACAGAAAAAATGTCATCACAACCAGCCCATTTCCCCGTTTCCTCCTGCGGCCTCGCACCGGGTGTGCGTGGTGACAGCACCGTCACACAGCATTGCCCAAAGTTCTCTCCCTGCTGGCCACGGCGTCGGAGATGAGAAACCGTTGGGTGCTCCCACACACAACACAACCTGCATGTATATTTCCGAGTTGCGCAATGTGGGAGGATCTACAGCATGTGTGTGTGAGACTCGCAGGTTGGGAGGCAACACGCACACAAAAAGAACGACCCAACCACGTTGACGCCATGTCGTTTCACAAGCGCCGACTCGCTCCAGTTCTTTTCGCTGCCGTCATAATGTGTTTGCGAGGAAACAACAAATATTTGATGGGGAAACAATGCACATCCATCCGTAAGAGAAGATACAAGAACAGAAACAGAGTTTGCCATTCGGGCATCGATCGGGCCTCTCTCTCGTATGATGACGGCCAGCAAACAATTTGCACAGCGAGGGTTTGGCCTTACGTCGACAATCATGTTACCAACACTCCTCTCTCTCGCACCCCAAGTTCCACATAACGCTTCACTTTTTTGTCCCCCCTAGCTGCCAGATGTTTGTTCCAGAGGGGGGGGTGACCGAGACATGCGATGGCTGGATACGAACGCCAGGTGGCTTTTTCTTAAAACGTGATGTCAATAAGCGCAAGTGTTTGAGGGAACTGGACAGACTGGCCCTATCGAAGAGTGAGGCCCGATCCCAGAACACCAAGGCCAGCTGGAGGGAACCCGACTTGTTCGCCTTGATGTGACGAATCAGTTCGTGTGCC